TCACAACAACCCTGAGATAAGCATTACAAGCAGGTGCTGCTAGGCAGGTCATGGTACAGTAAATAGAGTGCTTGACCTTGAGTCAGGAAGACCTGAGTTCAAATCCAGCCTCTGACCCTGAGCAAGTCACTCTCCCTCAGTTTCCTGATCTGTAAAGTGAGGATAGTAAAAGCACCTACCTCCCCAAATTGCTGTGAGAGTAAAATTATATTTGTAAAGCACTGTTGAGACTTTAAAGCATCATATAAACTCTAGCTGTTATTATTACAAATTAGAAAACTGAGGCTTAGGCAGGTAGGTGTTCAAACATGCTCATGATCACATGGTTGCTGATTGGCAGAACAGGGACTTTTCTAGGCTCTAAATCTAGTGATCTTTCCAATTCACCGAGCTGGTTCCTCTTATGACTGTAGCTGAGTATTTCACCCGGACACCCCAAGGTGATGGAACTGTTTATGATCATGTGATATTGTGATAGTCTTGTAATTATGCAGCTATAAACCAGGTGACTTGACTGCCAGTGAAATAAATTTTGTCAGCATTTTCTCCATATGGGATCAGATGACTCTCAGATAAGCTAAACTTGGTCCCAGAACACTATGACTTATAGTGGAGAAGCAAATAAATAATTTGTCCACCAATTTGTTCTCCTAGCTGTAGTCAGTGATCTACCCATTTGTCCAGATGTCCTAGCTTCTAGCTACAGAACCAGAAATACAGGGGTAAGAACCAAGCCTTAGAAAGATGTAGCCAAGCCCTGAGCCAGAGGAAGTACATGGCCACTGCTACTGGACTGGAGATGTTGGGATGAGCCTTTAGGCCATTTGGAAATGTTAATCAATCTGGATATTTCTCAGGGGTCTTAGGTTGCCAACCCATGCAATAGGAAATGTTGGAGTTGAGTTTGTAGGCCGAATCCAGCAACTACCTGCACCTGTTCCCTCACTCAGACCCATTCCAAGGGATCTGAATAACCCAGGCAAACATCCCCAGTGAGCTTTCTGATCTCCACCTCTTTCTCCCTTTCTCCATTACTTCATTTAGAATTCCCCTTACATTGGTGGCCAAATCAGCTGCTCTTTTCCACCTCCAGCTGCAAAATGGATTCTGTCCCTATATTAACTTGAACCAGTTAATCAGTTTATTATGATAAGTGTTCAGTTATAAGACATTGAAAGGAGTATCCTCCACACAGGTGCCAGGTTGATTTTCCTAAAGCACAGGTTGACCATTTCATTCCCATTCTCAGTAAACTCCAGTGGCTTCCTTTTTAATATATCACTTGGCTGCATGGCCTCTGTGGTCCAGCCTGCCTTGATGCTCCTCATATAGAGTGCATCTCCCATTTCTCTGATTTTTCACTATCTACCTTGTGCTTGGAATATTCTCTCTCACTTTCATCTTTTAGAATTCTTAGCTGTCCTTGAAGAGTTTTCTCAAACACTTATCTTCTACAGGAAGCCTTTCCTTCTAAGTTTACTTTGTTACTTATTTTGTATTTTTGCTTTTTCTTGTATTGTATGCCCTGTGCTTTGCACAGTGCCTAGCACATACTAAGCACTTAATAGGTGCTTATAGACTGGTTAATTGATCCTTTGTTGTTGAAAATTGCTCATCCTTACCAGATTCCTGGGAGGAGACCCTTATCTTTTTTTTTTTCATTTTCAATTAACAAAAATCCATCCTCTCTCCTTCCGACTTCCCACTCTTCCACCATTAAAAGAGAAAGAAAAACAAACGCTTTGTAACTAATGTGCCTAAGTCAAGCTAAACAAATTTTTCTATTAGCTTTGTCCAAAATAATGTCTTCATATACACTTTTGAGTACATCACCTGTCAGGGAGGACTCACATTTTTTTAAGCTCCTGGTATAGTTTTCTCAAAGTGCCTAAGGAACTTAGTTATGCTTTTTGCTGTGGGCAGTCCCATGTAACTAGTCAAGACAAACTACCAAAAGTCTGGCAACTCTCATATATCATTGTTAGTAAAAGTTGCGTTGGATAAAACATTCCTCATTTGTATTATTACTTTCTGTATTTTTCAACTTATGTACCTGCTTAAATTAGAGAACATTCTCCATGAAAGTTATTTCCAGAAAGCAACGCCAGGCTACTGCTTTCTTTCATGTGGTTCAGCACCTTCACCACTTGTTCAAGCCATTGGTATTCTCTCCCAGGATGAAATGAACAGCACTTGTTGACCATGGTTCAAGTGCATGTAGGAAGTAAAAGAAATATATGGAATAAGTAAATAACTGGTCTTATTCTTCATCATAGTGTGATGGAAAATCTCATTATCCATGGTTCAAATGTAGTGTTGGTCTATTCGGTGGTAACTGGCATCTTAGCCCTCATGAGTCTAGATCTCAGAATCTCAGAATTAGAAGAGACCTCAGGAACCCCATTCTACCTCCTCACCATCTCCTATAGAAAACAGCCACAGAAGACAAAAGCCTTTTAAATTAGCTTTTCTGACTACTCATTAGTCCTAAATGCATGTCATCTTTCCATATTTGTCCACTTACTATAGTGTTGTGTGTATAGCTTTAATTTATAACAGTCCATGGACTTCTGCAAATATTCAGATATTCTGATAAGATACTGATATTTTTACAAAGTTTATTCTTTAATAGTACTACACAGTTAGAAAGTACTTTCATATGCATCATCTCATGTGAGGTGAGCTAAAATAGTACAAGTATTATTAGCTCCATTCTGTAGTTTAAAAAATTGAGGCTTTGGGGTTATGAGTTTTAGAGCTTAGATGTAAAAGCAGGTCTTCTGACTCCAAGTCAAATGTCCTTTCTACTGTACCATGCTGTTTCTCTCCTTATAACCCATTTTGTCTTGCCTACTGATTCATAGCCTCAAGGCACCTCTGATTTCACGTTAAGGGCATGTGATGCTTGAGCTCCCTGGAATAATTCAGACCAACCCCTAAACATGGCTTTCTCCGCATCTCCTTAACTCAGCTACAGATTGGCAGTTATTGAGACATTCTCTTTGGTCCAGCGTACATCCCACATCAGCCTGTGTCTGGGGAATATGCTGGGGAGAGGAACAAGCCATTCCTCATCAGCAATTACAAAGAAGTCCTTTATTGTTAGCTGTACCATCTGTTTTCCTGGTTTCTACCACCATATCCTGTATGCATAGCCAGGACTGAGACAGTTGGGGTAGAGGAAAGAGATCAACATAACACCTTTCAAAAGGCCTCGGGTGCCAGTACTGCTGCCCCAGTGGTGGAAATCGGTAGTAGCAGTAACACCACCTAAGGGGAGACTCCCAGAACAGTTTGTTTTTTTTCTTTTGAAATCTTCAGAGTCAAGCAATGATATTTAGAAAATGCTTCCAGTAAGGAGAAGAGAGCAAGGGAAACTGAGACTTAGTGTGACCTGCTAAATGGAAGGATCAACACTTCATTTACAAAAAGTGTTAAGTGTTGTTTGAACTTAAAGGGCTCGTGGAGGCCATTAATTGGTCCAGTGGCTAGGACTTGGCTTCAGGAAGACCTGAGTTTGAATCCTGCCTCAAATACATACTAGTTGTGTCATCCTGGGAAAGTCACTTAACTTTTCTATATCTCAGTTACCTCATTTGTAAAGTGGAAGCATTAATAATTCCTACCTGATAGAGTTATGGTTAGGATTGAGTGCTTTGCAATTCTTAAAGCACTTTATAGTATTGTTATTATTATGGGATACATTTACTACTACCAAAAATAGGCCTCAAAAGCAGAGCTGTTAAATTTCATTGTATCCGTTAATGATTGGCTTGGAAGGAGCAATATTATCACCAAGTCTTAAGGGGTCTTCTCCTTGAGCCACAACAATGGCACTTTTATATTTGAAATAAAGCTCCGTGATATAGCTTGATGTCCCTGTTGCCCACCAGCTTCATCCCGGTAGGACAATGTCTTTTTCACTAATATTTTGGACTGTATAACTGCACTTTTATCATTATATGCAATTATATATTTGGAATATATAATCTTACATTTGTTTAAGGGAATCTTATCATTAAAATCACAATAGTGCTGCATATAGAGGGATCTTTTCAATGTTTGAAAATGACCCTGATCACTGTGCCAACCTTTACAGATGGGGTCAGCAGGAAAATCCAAGTTTACAACTGTGGCCAAGTGCAGACAATGGCACACATCATTGATAAATGTCCTTTGTCCAGATTTGATTGTAGTCTAATGACACTGAATACAGCAAAAGGGGGGAAAACCATTGCCTGCTTCAGAAAGATAATGTGCCTGCTAAGGAAAGTTTACAAGGGATAAGTTGGAACTGGTGGGAAAAGAATAAAAACTTAACAGAAAAATGTTAAAATGATACAAAGCCTTCTCTTTGCTGCCTAGTCACAAATAATCTTGTTGCTCTTTTCATCAGAGAATAGCTTTGCCTTTAGGGTTCTTCTTCCAAATGTCCTTTCTCCTGCTCTTGGGTGGTATGATGGATACTGGTTGTCAGCCTGGCTATTTCCTTTACTCCAAGATAGTGACATTGGGTGGTGAAAGCTGTATAAACATACTGTGTGCTGTATACCATATAAAAGCTGCTTTAGAATTGTGTACTTGAATGCATCATAGTAACTGATTAGCTTTTTAGGCCACCTTTGAATTTGAGAAGTTCTTATTGTAAACTATGCCTTTTGATTCACTCTGGACACCATATTTATGAGGACATTGGGCTGGGGCTTTTTTCATTTGGTAACTTGGGTTCTACGCAAAAGCTTTTAAATGTGAATATAAGCTTAATTTAGGTTGGTGGTTCAACATTAGACATGGAAAATGTGATTTTTTTTAATGTCTTGTTTCTTCATGATATGTATGATACAAAGGTATTTTACCATGCTAGTTTGAAAGCACAACTTGCTGTGAAGTCCTAAGATGACCCGAGATCGAGTTAATGCTTGTTAGCAATGTACAATCTTCACTTAAGGTTGAGGTATGCTGTACCGCTACTCACGTGACTTTGTGTTCTTTCCCTTTAGATTAGAATATGTAAAGGTCTCAATACTGTAACTGACCAAGGTAAGCCTGACCCTGCCCACAGGTTTGCTCAGTGCACGGTGCTAACTATCTTTTCAGCAGATCTACTAACCAGTCTCCTTGGTTGCTCGTATTAAACTGAAATACAGCCATCCTTCTCTTTTTCTGGCCCTCTCCCTTTTTCACTGCTTTTCATCCTCCCTTCCAAAATGTGCATTCCAAGCACCAGGCTGGAAACAAGTAGCCCAGACAATTCCCACCTGACTAAGTAGCGGCACTAACAGCCCTGCTGCCTGGCTGCTCTCTGACAGGCTCGCCCTGTCCCTGCATGTCTGAGCCTCAACGGAAAACGCACACTTTGTCTTTCTTCTGCTCCTGTTTGCTTCAGGCGGAATCTGACACCAACACCTGCCATACTGGAAAATGTCTTTGTTGCTTCCACTTTTGTTTGAATTGCTGCAGGGGAGCCAATGGGAGTTAAGTCCATTTACTTTTTTGTTGCCTAAGCACCATGGAATAGGATCTTGAGATGGGGCCCGATAAGAAGCGGCACGTGCTGTGCTGGCCCTTTGAGTTAGCTCAGCTTAATAAATGCCTCTCTTTCTGGGGAGGGCAGATTGCCGAGCTTGGGCTGCTGAATGGAACAGCTGGGGGAGGAAAAGGAAACAAAGGCGGGGAAGCACAGAGTGCCATGAACCTGGAGATTGGGAGTGCGGTTTAGGACCCAGAGAGCAGGCCGGCCACACGCCAGGTGTGACCTTTGCAAGCTTCTGGGTTCTGCTTGTTTGTCTGGGCAGTTTCCAAAGTACTGATCGAATGGAAGCAGCGTCCTGGCTGGATACACTCTCTGGTAGGCTGGGTTTAGGCAGAGGGGACTGCTGTACTGAATTAACTCCTTGAGATCTGATTCCCAGATGGATGAAGCCCTTAAAATTTAAAAAATAAAGCCACCTTTCTGAGGAGAAAAATGATAGACTGATGGATGGTTCTTTATTAACCATGTCGTAGTATGTTGTAAAATAGGACAGAATCAATTCATTTGTTTCCATCAGATCGCATAATCATTTGGGATGACAATTCAGCTTAGTATTTTGAAGGCACCACTAACATTGATCTTTTAAATCAGAGTAGTTCAGAAGAGCAGAAATTTACTGTAGAAAGCTGACCCCATTTCAGAACTGAAAGTTCTTTTCTTAGTGCTGGATTAAACCCAGATTTTTTTAATTGCCCTAAATAGTACTTCACGTTGGCCACTGAGAAGAGGAATGGGCCATAAATTTTAGATCATCAAGTTTGTAATCCTAAAACCAGATTTTTAAAATCTCCTTCAGATGTTGTAAGTTTCATGCAGAATGACTTATTTGTCCACATGTATGTGTATGTGCTTCCATTTTCTTTGACCAGAGTCATGAAATGGGCTCAAGTATGTTATCTGAATGGAGTTCCAAGCTTCTCTTGCAAGAAAATGGCCAAGTCGTTAGAGTTCATGCCAGACAGCTTGCAAGTGGAATTATAATATTTGTATGAAAGCCTTTATCTTTTGTGGTTATTGCTTGCTCATTCTGCAGCTGCTGTCTCCCTATCAATCAAGACGATTTAGTGGGAGCTTCAAGGTTGATTGCATAGTTAAGGACTTGCCAGAAGAAAGTTTTTGACTGATGGAATGTCCAAACTCTAAAGGCTCATGGAATGCTGTGGGTGATTCTGGGCGCTGAGGTGTGGCTTAGCCTTTTTATGGACACGCTTTTGCCTGTTTGAACTGTACAGCTTCTCATAAGCACAGGAGCCCTATTGTTAAAGAGCTTGCATGAATATTGCTTGAGCTTGCCCAGTTGGCAAAATTTGTATTATTTTGACCATCTGCCATTCTGCTTAGCTGTAGGAACGCGAGCTACCCTCCTGCTTTCTCCCTGGGGAAAAAAATCAGAATGTTTCTTCTCCTAATCCAGAACTAACAAAGGTCTACTTTTTCACAGCTAACTTCTTTAAACACCAACACATATTTTACATTTATTTGCAAGAGAATATTTCTCCTTTTTCTTTCCCTACCTATATCCTCTTTCTAAAATATACATCTGGTAAGTGAAAAATAATTCTAGTTTGTAATGTGAAGTCGCTCATACAATTGCTTGTTAAGTATTAAGTATTTCAAGATGGAAAATTGCCTGGAAATAGCAACTGAGTCATAGCACAGTTGTTTTTTGTTTTTGTTTTTTGTTTTTTTAGTTAAATGCTAGTACATTTCATTAGCATGCTCATTTGATGGGGAGATGCATTTTAATGATCTTTCTTTGTCCTACTATGACAAAGTATGGCTCCCTGTCTTTGTCATAGGCAGCCTGATTTTAAAGACAAAACTAGTGGGAGGGAAACAGCTCTCATTCTATGTGCTTTACCAACTTTACTGAATGTCTGAGTTTGGCCCAGAAGAAATAAGAGAAAACACAGGTCTCTCTGAGGTTATAACCCTTTAAACTATTGATTTTCAGTACACACCAAGGAAGTTGCTACCAGTGTTTTGTGTGCACTGGGAATTGTTGGAAGAACTATTTTGAGACTGCATAGTAGCAGTCTCAAGCCAGATCAATGGAAAGACACAAACTGTGCATGAAATGACCCCTGTGATATGGCCTGAATCCAATTAATCTGAAATACTAACTGTTGAAAAGCAAATCCCTGAAGAGGATCCATGTTAAGAAGACCATAGAAGTATAGTTCTGGAACGGTTTCCTTATGGGGAAACCTGGGCTGTAACACAAGTGAGGCTGATGAAATGGCCTTCTCGCTGACTGAATTGTCCTGGGGAAGGCTGGCCTGCAGCAGCAACAACCTCCTTCTATTGCAGGAGACATTCTTGTATTCCTCTGAGTGTGATTACAAGTGCCCTGGGAGAAGCTGAGAGCTGCAGATGGGCAGGTTTTCAGTTTATTCATTTTTTCCAGAAGTAAATGGCTACATCCGCTTGTATTCTGGTTCAAACCAGCTATTTAATTCTAACCTCTAGTCATAGACACCTTGGGGAAATAATTGAGTTGTAACTTAAATGTGTCAGATATCAATGTGTAAATATTTGTAGATGCCATTGGCACTATCAGGGGTTCACTAAGCTTTACATAAAGCTTCTAGAGACTCTTTGGAATACCAATAAAATGTGAAATTCTGGGGTTACTGCCTCTTAGGAAGTCTTCGTATTCTCCAGTTTGGCTTGTGGGTAAAACATCCCCATTGGGCAGCATGGAATTTAGAGCTGGAATGGGACTTTAGAAATCATCTAATCTAATATCCTCATTTTGTAGATGAGGAAACTGAGGCACAGAGATTCCAAAGTTAATTGCCTGGTGTCACACAAGTAACAAATTGGATTTGAACTGGTGTCCTCTTGTATCAGAGTTGGTGGGGTTTCCACTTTATATGCCTGCCATACATTTAAACATTTTACAAAGATCTAGGGTAAAGAAAATACTGATGTGCTTGGCGCCTATTTGAATGAGAAGCTATCTAAAGCCGCCCTCCCACTGAGCTGAGCTTACAGTCCCCTCTCCCATCAACCCCACCTTTCTTCCTTTGGACTATTGGAGAAAAGAAGGCTTTAACTCTGCTTTCCTTTGTCCTCTCTCTGCTTCCTTTTCAGATAGTCTCACTGCCAGTGTGAGTGCTGACCTTCCTGTTTCTGTTGGAGGAGAGTTGGCCAATCAGACTTCTCCATCACTAACCCGTGCTCCCAAACTCAAAAGCTCTGGGAGACTTCGTCGTTCTGCTAGTGCCCTCAGCAAATCTTCAAATTGAAGTACATTAGAAACTGAGTCAGCTCAAAGAAAATGTTTGGGCTAAGTCAAAATAGATATATCAACGATTGTCTGAACTTCACAGGATGATTTTGTGCTATAAAATCACAGTTCCTTCCAAAGAAGAAAAGAAAAGTTCCACCAAACAAGTTTCACTTCACTCTCCCTTGTGCATTGTGTGTGACTAGACTAGGAACAGCAAGTACAGGGGATCTCGCATGGCTTTTGATGTGTATCACAAGTAGCAGGTTGTCTGTGACTCAAGTACTTTTTTCTTATTTATAGGCAGAAGCACAACTGTCATAGGAAGATACAAAACAAGTATTGAAGCAAATTGTTTATGGAATTGTCTTTGGTTATATTGATTTTATTAATATTCACTCTCATCGTAGGATTTGTGTTTTAGTTTAAAAAAAAAACCAAACTTTCATCATCATAGAAAACTGGCTTTCCCCAAGGGCTCTTTTCCTCATGGCCCAGAAGTGATTTCACTTCAGTTTGATTCACTCCCTTCACTGCATAGTCAGATATCAGGATGTGATTTTCCACCAGGTATCCACTAGCACTGGCTAAGTTTTAATGATCATCTGTAGAGCTTCCAGGTCTTTGTTGAGAAATACAGCAGCATTGAAGATTCGACTTTCTAGGAATACAGGTCAAATCAAATTACGGCAATTGTAGCAAATGCTCATTCATTAATAATTTTTCATATGGAAAATGATGAACAGGACAGTATTCACTATAGCAGAAGTTGCTTAGCCAAACAGATAGTTTGAGTTTTGCCATTTGAATCTGTAACCTCTATTACTTGACCATCATTCCAAACCTTGGAATCTGTTTTCATGCAAATATTATCATTATAACAATAACTAACTAGGATGTGACTAGCACTCTTGAAGGACTTGAGTTCTAACGCACAGGAGAGCCTCATTTGCTAAGAACACTTTTTTCTTTATGCCCCAAATCTTAACTTGAGCATTCCCACCATCATAACTATAAACCACAGAAGAATTTCAGCATATAGATTCCATTTCTTCAGCCTCTTAAGCAAGACACAAACACGTACTCAGAGCCAACATTGTGCAAGATGTTGTGCTAGACGTAGAGATAAAAACCATCAAATATCTCTACAGGGCCTACTGTGTGCCAGGTGTGAGATGCACTATTGCAGATGAGATGCCAATAACACACAAGGAGAATTGCCTGGAATTAACCCAGCTTCTGAGTAGATAAATAACTGTATTTTGTGGCCTCAATCATTACTTTATTCTAATTGGCTAATATTAGAAACCTACTAGCTAGCTACTGAGTTCAATAGCTAGTTATTAAAGCTTCAAACTGCATAAAGACTTTCGGGACACTCAGTACCTTTTGTTTTAAGATCATCTTCGAAGTGCATAGATCCCCAGTAGCCAACTTTGAACTTTTTTGTAAACCAGGAGAAATAAACCCAGTCAGAGAAGGATGAGATAGGGAGATGAGTGTGAGCAAGTCAGGACTGGCAGCTGGCATTGTGATGGAGCTCAAGGTCACAGAAGAAAAAAGATCATGTGAATGATAACTCTTCATCTTTTACTTTTTTTCTCCTCTTCATTTATATTTTCATGCAGTTCTGTGAAATACCTTCCTGACACCTTTCTTTTGAGGATTTCTGTGAAGGCCAGCAGAAATGGTACCTGTACAGCCTACGTACACAACCATCTTGACCATTTGAAAGACACTAACTTCAGGCAAAACAGTAGAACTCACTGTGGGTGGAGTCAGCCTAAAGCCCTTAGCTGACTTTTAACAGTGTGTTTGAGCCTAGTTGGTCAGGAGTCAGGAAATCTCTGTTCTGTTGCTTTGCAGGCCACTGGATTGTGTCCCATAAGGAGTTTAGTAATGAGAATTCTTCTCTAGTTTCTAGAGACATGCCACCAAAAAAAGTAGTATGTGTGTGACCTGGACATAGGCAGGTAGTTGGGTCATTTCAAGGGACACGAGGGAAAAGTCAATCACTTCAGATTGTTTTTGCTTTGTAAACTAGTCTATTTATATAAGTATTCTCTGGCTCCTTAGCATAGACAGTATCAAGAATAGTTGATTTTCAAGGTTTTTTTTTTCCTGATTATGCCAGCAAATACCTCATCCCCATTTTGTTATGTTTTAAATCTGCACATGTCACAAAGGCAAACAGCCGTTTAGCTTTTTGTGGTTTTTGTTTTTTAAATAATGTAGAACCTAACTAATAGGCTAAGTAAACTTAGCATTTTTAAACTTGGAGTGGGCCCACAGAGTTCATTGAGATAACTATTTGAGGAACATGATCATCAGGTATTATGAAAGCATGTGAAATAACTGGGTTTCTAGGAGAGGTGATGATGATGCATGTCAACATATAAAAGGGCCAACTTAAAGTCCCCTTATTTCTTAATAATTATGTTACTGCACTACAAGCTTGTGCCTCTGTATTTTGGGGCATACTCTGGGCTGGCGATCCCTTTACAAACTCTGATTGTCAGAGACTTGAGACTAAGACCCTGCAGTTCACTTCAGGATAGGCACAAGCATATTTTAACTCATGATTTATTTTCTGTGGCAAAAAAGGGGGGAGGGGCTAATTTCATCTGCAATTTTTATGACCAAAAATTAGGAAGAAAAAAATTTAGTTCTTACTAGAGATGATTTACATGCTTGGTAACATTTAATCTGGAGATTTGTTTGTTGTTGTTGTTGTTGTTTTTTGAGGAAAATAATTTTATGTACAAATGGACTATAATCATTTTTACTTTTGGGATGGCAAATGGAAATGCTCGTTATCTCACTTAGAAAAGCTAATATTGCACCTTCATAATATAATGCCTTTCAGCAAAATTGAGTTGATAATCAGTCAGCACACACCCCTAGGTACTAGTGCTGACAAATCACATTAGCAGGTCAACCATCTGTGAATTAAAGTGTCCCTAATTAGACCTAAATGTGATAAGACTTGTTGGTTTTAAGACAGTGTTAGGCATGCCGAGTTCTCCTTCATTGGCATGTTACTTTAGCTGAAAGCTAATGTAGCAAAATCACACGGACTGTTTTTGTTCTTAAAAAATAAAACTACTAAAAAGGGGGAGAAATGAAACACCTAAACTATACAAAAGCAAGAAAATTCAGCCATATCAAGGGACTCTTCACAAGTGTCTTTAAATGCATGCAGTCAGTGACACAGGACCTAGGAACTACAGGGTAAGGGTAGGGTTTGTAGCCTTGGATTGGGTGGCTTGTGTTGATTGGCCAAACACTGAGCCTTATTTTTTAAAAATCATGCAGATTCATATAGCAATGCATCTTTCCTCAGGTCTAATTAATCTGTTCTTCCTCCAATGTTGAATTTGTTTTTAATCATGTTGTATAACAAATTGAGGAATACCTTAAAACTTACTGTGACTTCTCCATAATTATGTTTTTATCTCTTCTGTATGTGAAATTAAATTCTATATGGGACAAGCCATTGTTTTTAGTTACATTCAATATCTCTGTATGATATATACATTAAGTGAATGTTTTCTGTTTCCGCATCTACAATGTTTAGTGTGTGTGTAAATAAGGAAAGGTATTTGATAAATGCAGTAAAAATTAACTTATAGTGTGTCATCTGCTTTTGAGTTTGTTTTTCCTTTATTTAATTTATTAAAACACAACATCAAGGTTTAAAAACTAGATGACTTTCCAGTCCAGCACTGGATGTTACTACTCCTTATGTAAGCATATATGGAACCTGCCTTTGCAGGCATTTCTTCACACCAGGACAAGAACTGCTGGCAAAGGTAGGCCTAATCTCTGAAAACAACAGGAAGAAATCGTTCCTCTTGATTACCAAAAGCTTGACTTTGGAGTTAAGATTCTCTTTTGTGATGATGTAGTATGTTGATAAAGTAATTTAGAAAAGCAGCACTTGTGTGCTATATATTTAATATGTTTACTTTTTCATTATTTGATGTGATGATTTGGTGGTTATTAATCACTAATAAAACATGTGTCAAATTTATACGGGGTGATGTAATTCAAATGACATTTTCCCCTAATGGTGACCCAAAAGCTTCCCTTCCAAAATTGCACAAATTCAGAAGTGCATTAATTAAAATTCTCTCTTCATCCATGAAGTATAGCGCTAAGAGCAAAATAAAAGTTGAATTCATAGAAATATTTGCGTACAGTTTACACATCCATTTGTTAATGAATCAAAATCTCTTTTACTCATGTGTTAAAGCAAATGGTATAAAAAAATCCAAAAATGGCTCATTTGATCTGATACAGCTGCTTTGGTAGCCTAAAAATGTCAACATAGGTTTGTCAGCAAAAGATTTAGACATCATCTTAAACAACCCCTTTACTTTACAGGTGAAGAAACTGAGTCCCAGAGAGGTTATGGTTCATCTGAGGTTATTTAAGTAGCTGAGCCTAGGATTCAAACACAGGCTTTCTAACACCACCTCTAGCATTCTTCCACTCTGAGATACTCTTTCTACCACACACTCTAAAAATTTTACATGACCAGCTTTCTCACTGATAAAACAGATGGCTGTTACACATTTTGTCCCTAATATTTAAATGAGAGGTGTATAGCGTACATAATTTGTGTGTCATAAGTCTCTTGGTATACAGTTTCATTTAGGCCAGGCATAACATGAGAGAAGCATTAGAAACAAAAGTGAGGGATAATTGAGGGACCTCCCCACACACAAAATATCATAATAAAGGCTCTAGTTGTTAGAGGGTTCCACCATCAAGAATTTAGTAAAAAGACTTGGCTACAAATTGAACAGGATAAGAAGATAGAGCCGTAATCTGTGCTGGTGGAAGGAGAGCCTACATCGGCAAGATCACAGATCTCATTAAGATCCTAAATGAAAGATGCAGATTTAATAATCCCTTCCTTTGAATGGACATACACAAATGGTGGCAGTAGCATTTTGTATGGCAGACAGCAGTGCCATTCTGATAGCTTAGGAGCAGGGCTGGGGAATGTACCATTCCCTAGGGCCTTCACCCTGTAAGAAGCTCCCCTTTCTGAACAGCATTAATGTGGTGAGTATATGAAAGCAGCAAGTTGTTAGGTTCTATTCTAAAGGTCTGTAAAAGCTGTAGGGGTTGGGAACCTGCTGCCTCGAGGCCACATGTGGCCCTCTAGATCCTTTGAAGTCACAGGGCCACACTTAAGGACCTAGAAGGCCACATGTGGCCTCGAGGCTGCAGGTTCCCCACCCCTGAGCTAGTGCCACTTGAAAAGAGGCCTGATTTATACAATGACAACATTAAGGGGAAAAAAAAACAAACTTTGAAAGACTTTAGAACTGATCAGTGCAATGATAAACCACAATTCCAGAGGACTGAGATGAAGCATGCCACCCACCATTGCCAGAAAGACAATGGACTTAAAATGCAGAAAGAAACTTGATATGTTTTGGAGGTGGTCAGTGTGAAAATTTGTGGTTTTTAGAGGTTTTAAATTTTTTCAATTATTCAGTTAGAGAAAAGGAGCATAAAGTGGGAGGGACAGAAAATAAATGCATGTAAAAAAAGAAGTTAAAAGTTAAAATTACAGTGAGGGAGTTCATTTCACTATGAACTTGGGAGAGGAAGACAAGTTTTGAACCATGTAACTAAATTATTTTTTATGTGACTCCAAAATGCATTTGAATTTGTTTATAAGCCTTAAAATCACTCATCAAACTAAAAAAGAAAGCGAATTAAAAGAGAAATGGAAAACAAAAATAAAGGAGAAGCCCCATTTTCTTTCTTGGGATTAGTTTTTATTTAGGGAGAATTTTCCCCATGTTCTTTGGCTAACCAGGGATATTGTTTAAAAGCATATTATATTTTTAATGCACAATTTCCCAGCAAATGGTCTGAGCTTAAGTTCAATAGCTTGTATAGCCTAGAACATAGCTTAGAACAGTGGTTCTCAACCTTTGAGCCTACAGACTTGTGGGGAGCTGCCAAGCTATTTCTAAGAGTTTATAAATCTATATGGGCACAAGCATGATTAGGTTGAACTTTATTTAGCTGCAACCAAATGCACAGTGCCACTAACTAATAAAAAAGCAAGTATAATTTCTGTAGAGTGAACAATGTCTTGCTCATATATTCATTATTTTTCAAATGTATATAAATGCTGCTCCAATGAACAAAATATAAATTCAATTTAAAATATTAATTCATAGAAGCTTTTTGTCCTATACTGCATTTTCTCAGTCAAAAGATGACAATACAACTACTGTTATTCAGAGAACTGTACCTTCTTTTGATGTTCAACTGTTTTAAAAGATGAGGACCCAGTGGTCTAGAAGATTGAGAACAGGACCAGGAGTCTAGACACTTCCCCAAGGGCTGGTCTCATCACTAACTCCTTGGATTAGGTGCCTCGCTTCTACGTTTGCCACATCCTCATTTATGAAATTGGATTCAAACCAAATCCCTGTCCAAAAATCTAAGGAGGAACAGGTCTGACAACCTGTCAACCCTCTGATTTCTGTTAAAAGTGACTATTTTAACACAACTGGAGTGATTGTGTATTGTAATGATTTTACTATTCAGTGTTACTGTCTCAATCACTGGTTTATGGTTTTAGATTCTAGGGTAAAATTTACTAATACAGGCATACCTCAGAGATATTGTGGGTTTGGTTCCAAACTGCTGCAATAAAGCAAATACCACAATAAAGCTAGTCACATGAATTTTTTGGCTTCCCAGTGCATATGAAAGACCATACTTTAGTCTATTAAGTGTGCAATAGTATTATGTCTAAAAAAACCCCAAAATGATGTATATAACTTAATTTTAAAAATTGCTAAAAAATACTAACCATCATCTTAGCCTTTAGCAAGTCATAATCTTTTGCCTGGTGGAGGATCTTGCCTCGATGTTGATGGCTGCTGCTGACTGATCAGGGTGGTGGTTGCTAAAGGTTGAGATGGCTGTGGCAATTTCTTAAAATAAGAACAACAATGCAGTTTGCCACATTGACTCTTCCTTTCATTTGAACACTTAAGAGACCATTGTAGGGTTAGTAACTGGCCCAATTTCAATATTGTCAGAGGACAGGGAAAGAGTGAAGCAGTCAAAACTTAACACACAGAATTTATCAACATCTTATATAGGTGCGGTTCATGGTGCCCCAAAACAATGACAATAGTAACATCAAAGATCACTGATCACAGATCACCACAGATCACTATCATAATGATGAAAAAGTTTGAAATATTGCAAAAATTTCCAAAATATGACACAGAGACCAATGTGAGCACATGCTACTGGAAAAATGGTGCTGATAGACTTGCTTGACACAGGGTTAACACAAATTTTCAAGTTGGCAAAAAATGCAATATCCATGAAGTACAATAAATTGAAGTGCAATGAAATTAAGTATGCCTGCATCTTAAACTTTTCATAGTCTTCTCCCTTTAAAAAGCTCTTCAGTGTTAGGACCCATGGCTTATAATTCCAAGAATGTAGAAGAAACAAATGTCTGTTTTCTTTGCTCCAAAGGGAACCCCCTGCTATAGTTTATACTTTCATTGAATAGTGATGTATAAAGAGGGGCAGCTAGATGACACAGTGGATAGATCACTGGACCTGGAATCAGGAAGACTGGGATTCAAATCCAGCCTCAGACACTTACTAGCTATGTGACCCTGGGCAAGTCACTTAACCCTGTTTGCCTCAGTTTCCTGAAATGTAACATGAGCTGGAGAAGGAAATGACAAACCACTCTAATATCTTTGCCAAGAAAACCCTAAATGGGGTCATGAAGAGTCAAACACAACTGCACAACCTCCAGAAGGTGTGCTTCCTACAAACAGCACCATAGCTATCAGAAGCACTGATTGGTGGATATTGTCATGCTCTCTACCTTGTACTGTGGCATTGTTGGGTGCTTTAAGTAATAACTGGGAAAACATCTGAGTGCCAAGTGCAAAAAGATACTCCTGTGGGTAGTAAAAAAAAAAAAAATCATAAACAATGATATAGAAAGAAGGGCTTCTGACCCACTATGCTGATGATGACTGATCCACAAATCGTCATGGTTCAACGTCAGCAAAAATCTTCAGGAATATACACAACATTAGAAAACACAGGTCAGAGGCAAAATTTTGAAATAACAAACTCTTGTTGGTTCTGAAAATGCCCACCAGAGACTGTTACTGAAAGCAACTGTCTGCAAAACTTAACCTTGACTTTCTTGCTTCAGCTGCATGTGAGGAGTTGAGAATATTTTTAAGATAAGTACTCCCAGCTTAAATTAGCATTATGTAGCTATTTAAGTGAATGCTAACAGGTTCTTATCCTTAGTATATAGTCAAGATTATCTTTCCAGGACAAGGGTTACCCAGATATTAAATGTCTAAGATGAGATTTGAATTCAGGTCTTCTTGACTCTAAGTTCAACCTTCTATTAATTGCACCACCCAACTACCTCAAGAGCCTTTATGATCTCTCTGCAGTGTTTGATACTGTTGAACACCCACTCTTCTTAGTCCATCTTCAATGGGTATTCATGATACTGCTATGTACTGATTGTCCTCCTACCTGTACGACCACTCCTCTCTCACCATAGTTGGATTATCATTCGTATCCCACCCTATATGCATGGGTATATCCCAGTGCCAAACAAAGCATTTTGTATTTGATCCTGAAGGTAATAGAGAGTTTATTGAGTAGGAAAGGTGAAATGATGGGACCTGTGCTTTAGGAAAATCACTTGAATGAGGATGGATTGGAAGGGGAGAGACAGGCAGACATATCCCCCAGCAGGCTAGTGAAACAATCCAGGCATGAGGAGATGAGGGCTTGTACTAGAGTTGTGGCAATGTCAGAAGAGATAAAGGGGGTATAATCAAGAGATGTTGTAAAGGCCTTGGTAACAGCTTGGAAGTGGGGGGTGAGAAATCCAAGATGACGCCTAGGTTGTGAGCCTGAGGGCTGGGAGGATGATGTTGCTTTCTACAGTAGTAAGGTAGCTGGAAGGGGGAATGAGTTTACGAGGAA